CCGGACCCCGTCCCTCTCTCTCTCTCTCTCTCTCTCTCTGATTCTTAAAGGAAAAAAGAGTACGTCTCTAGTCTATTGTCTATTGATGACTGGTCGCAACTTGCAATCTCGCCGTCTTACCACCACTGAACCCCCGCTCTAATGCATACCCGTCCGCGGTTGAGGAGCAGGGTAGCCGTGGCGCACCACCGAGACTGGCCAGCACAACCTCGTTGTCAGCGGTCAAGGCATCCATGACTTCCAGCTCCTTGACCGTGAACCACCTTGGCATCAGGCACCAGCGGAAGGGAATCAAGACGCAGACCAGTACCGGGAAGCCTTTGTGTTTTGGACGAGAAGCGGTTAGCCGAGTGGTGGCAACCAACGAGAGAGGGAGGGGGGGGTCGATTCAGTTCCCAGCAGGAAAGCAGGAAGGAGGAAAAGAGGAGGGAAAGGGGGATGGGGATGGGAGACGTACCAATGGCAGCAATAGTCTGAGAGATGGCTACTGGGAGAGCCCAGCCGACGATCTGGCAAGCGAGGTAGAGGCAGATCTTGCGGCGACGGATGCGGAGCAGGGGCTCGGCTGGTTGGATGAAGCGGCGCTCGCTTATCAGGAAGAGGAGCTTCTTGGTGATGCCGTTACTTTCGATCGAACCCCACTGCGTCGAACACATCAGTCAGTCAGTCAGTCAGTCAGTCAGTCAATCAATCACAGAAAACAAACAGGGTTTTTCGTCGCAAGATGGGCGAGAGAGAGATAGATGATGGCTCACTTACACCGACGACGAAAAAGACACCGGCGAAAAGTGCTCGCGGCATGGTGTGCAGGACCGTCAAGAGCGGGCCGGTCATGGTGCCTATAATAGCGAGACCCATGAGCAGATGAGAGATGCGCTGCTCGACGACCTTGGAGGCTCTGATGACGGGTCTGCGAATCTCGTGCCCTTCGCCTTCTTCGGTGGTGATGATCTTGAGGTCGGTCTCGTAGACTGTGAGGGATTCGGTATGGACTGGCGCCTGCAGAATATCAGCTTAAGTAGATTTTCGAGCTCTCTTGAATCTGCAGTAAGTCTGTCTGTCTGACATACCTGTGGAACGAGGCCATTGGGCAAGGGGATGCCAATGATGCCTGAGATGAATGTTGTGCACCCCAGGAGGAAGAAATCCCAGTGAAACCCACCGGGCTTCTTGAGAGGGTATTGTTTAGCCTGGGCGGTCAGACTGCTGACATTCTGCTCTGCTGGTCAACTCGGAACCTGAGATATCGACGGCGGTCTACGGAGAAACTTACGTGGTCGTAGTAGAAAAGTAACATGACCAAGAACCCAAAGGGCATAGCGACGAAGACCCACTTCGCATCCAGCGTCCAAAACTCAATCAGCCAGTCTCGAGGCAGCGTTGGATAGAACGCTCGGGTGATGTCAAGCCTGCTGATGTTTGCTCTCTTGATAGTTCCTGGGATATGTGCAAAGCCCACCCAGAAGATAGTACTGATCTAGGGGAAAAAATTTAGCGAATGTTGTTGGCAAGTTGAAAAGCGATGTACTTACAGGATAAGCATAATCAGCAAGCAACCCCCTCATCCACGGTTTCGCCAGCACGCCAGTCCCGATTTTCTCGAGAGTGTACACCGTCCCCGAAAATAAAAGCGCAATGACGATGCTCAGATACCCATCCACGCTCCCAAACTCGTCGAACAGGCTCACCAGCTCCTCTACACCCTTGACTACGCCTTTCTTAGCATAAATTCACAATCGAGAAAACATCCATCTTAATTTTTTCTTGGGGAAGGAGAGAGGAAGCCCTTACTCATGTAGATAATGCCGACGTACATCCCAAACGTCTCGCTCGAGAAATCCGTCACGTACCGCATGTAGTCGCACAGGTTTCCCACCGCGACCACCCAGTGCCACACCGCCGCCCAGATGGCCGTCCAGGCCATGAAGCGCGGGTACAGCGTCACATCATACTCCTTGATGATGTCGTAGATGGTGTAGTTGAACAGGGAGATCAGGCCAGTGATTCCGACGATAGTCAGGGGCTGGGCGCTGAGAATGCTGAAGACAAGGGCCGCCAGCGCGGAGGCAAACAGAGACTCGTTGATGCCATAGAAGCCGCCGGTGCGGCGCTCCATGTCAAGAGTATACGCCAGGGCTGGGAGGAGACTGGTCACATGTAGTTAGTCAGAGTTTATAGTTTTGGGGGGTTTTACGGAAGGCTTGCTTACTTGACGAAGTACATGCGAACAGTACTTGCAAAAGTTCGGTACGTGAACGCATCGGTGATGTCGCTCATGTAGTAAGGTAGACGGCGACGTATATCATGATACATGCCTCGACACGGTCTCAGGACTCGGTAGCGTCGCCATCCTGTCAAGCCGTCGAAAGTGTAATCTGGAGCTGGCCTTGGTGGCGTTGGATCCCTAGGCTGATAATCATGGCGAGACTTTTCTTCTGGCGGTGGGGGGATCGGGTTGATAGAATCTGGAGGGGAGCCAGAGCCGAGACCAACTGTCGTCGAAGAGGCGTGTGCTGGTTCCATTGCGAAGAGAGGGTTTCATTCAGCAGCGTCTAGGAGGAACCGCAGGCATTGACTGTAAATAAAACAGATGGTCGGAGAAAAACGTTCAGATTTGCAGCGAGCGAAGACAAGCTTATCTATCCGTGCCTGGATACAGTCTATGATTACCGGGCTGAAGGCTTGTAATATTGGAACTCAATCTGACCTGGTCCAGATCTGACTAACAAAACACAGAAACCGGCGCAACCACTTCAACACAATAAGCCAGAATAGGCAGAATCGATGATTTGGTAGCTGCTTTCGAGAGCGCAAACACTGATACTTTGTACAAGAAATAAATGCGGTTCCATTGGCATAAGTTCTTGTTGATGTGAGGGCTGTGTTATGTCAAGAGGGGGAGGTTCGCCACGCCAAGACCTTAGGATTTCTGCTCGGGCAGAGGCTTAAAGTCATGTACCGGTATCCAGCATAACAACACCGACTCCACCTCAAGAATTGGATGAGCGGTCACAACCACCAACAAAACAATAGCCGATTGTTTCCAATGCCTCGAAGAAAGTGGAACAGTGTTCCCGCATGCCTCAACGCCTTGAGTTGACCGCCGCTTTAATGTGAAAAAAAAAAAATTCCTTTGCTGCGTAGCACACTTGAAGAAGGGAAGATGGACTCCAATCTACCAACTTACTTTGGCCGTCACTTATTCCTTATACGCATAAAATGGCCTCCACCTTTATATCCAACGCTTAATTAGACGCGCAGCTTGCAGCTATCGACGAAATATCCAAAGATTTCGATATCAGCGTAGATCAGATCCGATTTTCTACGCTTCCTAAGAAAAGCCTTTCCCTTTCGAGAGCGACGTAATCCCGTACCTTAATCTTGTCAGCGATATAGCCAAATTGGCCAGATGAGCTTTGATAAAAGGAACAATAACTGTTATGCTTAGAAGAAGCGAGTTGAGAAGTAGCAAATAAACTTTTCTCTCAATTCGTTTGCAATCTATACCTCACATTTACGTGTATTTATACTTCGTTGACAAGTAAGCTACGATAATAATAGCCTCACCACTTTTCTACTCTCTATCCTCAAAATGCTTCGGAAACACGGAGACATGGGCTTGCATAGAGCGGCAGGCGAATTTGGGTGGTGGAGGCATGCGGTACACGGTTCCACTTTCTTCGAGGCATTGGCAACAATCGGCCCGAAACAATGTATACTGGTGATAATACTGCCCCATCCATGGATGGAATTGAGGCACAAGACACCGCTTCTATTTTCTATTCAGAGTATAAATGAGGGAAGAATAAATACAACTGCCATATGTGCAGAGTACAGTCAAGAAAGTCTATAGAAACCACCACGTACTTACAATCAACCCCATACATACATACATATTCGACCTCTTTACCACTCAGCTTTCAACTCCCCAAGCCAGTTGATGCCCACAGCCCGAAAGATCCTGACTTCTCCAGTGGTCAACTCAGACATGTTGTAATTCCCCGTCACGACCCTCTTGACACCACCCGTATTCTGCTGCACCACCCTCAAGACCCCATTCGGCTCGACGCCCGTGATGACAGCCGTGTGATCTGGCTGACCAGCTACCTGGAAAGAGCCGTTAGGCGACTCAAACCTCGCACTGAGAATCTGGATGATGTCTCCCCGTGCAACGCCAGCTGCGAGTATTCCGCCGGCAGGCTCGGGCTTAAGTGAGATGGCAGGACGGTATGTGTACAGGATGTGGCCGTGCACAAGTTCTTGGGAGGCAGTGCAGGGTTCTTGGCCGCGGGATGTGCACTGTTGAGCGACTGCTTTCAAGGCCTCGTTTGCTAGCGTCCAGCACTCACCGTTCCCGACTTGTTGGCCCATCTTGGATTCGCACCATGCTGCTATCGAGTCTGAGTATCTGCTTCCTGTTAGCATCACTCATTGCATGGGTGAACTAGAGAATGTACTTTGCACGACAGTCTTCCAGCTCTTGCCGACTTAACGGGCGAGGTGGCGGGGTATGTCTTTGCTCTGCCTTGACAGTATAGCCCGGGTTGCTACTATCCCAAGTTATCCGTATCTTTGAACTTGACAAGTCCGGGAATCTCATGTGGATGACCTTGTAATGTTTCTTTCGGCTTCCCGATGATTCCCAGCCTGATGTACTGCTGTATATTCGAGTATTTATCGTGCTGGGCGGGAACTTCCCGTCCACGAACCACAGCGACTGGAGATCTAGGTCTAAATCGACAGGCCGGTCACGGGAACTAGATGACTGACTAGTTAGCGGAAGTGCGCTCGTTTGGTATCGGTGGTGGTTTATAAAATTGTTCGGGACAAAGCGTGATGTCTGGGCGTAAGAGCAGGGTCGAGGTCTTGATACGGGATGGGATGAGGGAGATACAGCTTGTCTGACCAGCGAGACAACATCCCTGGCTGCTGTTCAAGTGGATTGCGAGCGATATGTTCCGCTGCTGTCTTGGGCAAGTTGTTTGGCATGGTAATATTTGGATTTGATGATAATGATTTTTTTACCGCATTCAAAGATTGCGCAAAAAATGAGACGACCAAGAAGGTAATGTACTCGAAGAGAAGCATATCGATGAGGCTGCTCCTTTTGACTTAGCTGTACACTGTCATAGCCTTGTACATGTGAATGCTTGTGGATACTTCCGAAGTCTTGGGAATCTGGCCCCGAGAATACTATATTCGCTAAACAAAGTAACAGAAACATGACACAGGCGCAACAGACTCAACAGGAGTCAGGCCGATAATATATATGGCTAAACAAACATCATAACGCTAATCTACTGATAATTGCCACTTACTTGAGGCTTGGGTTTAGTCGACATGGGTATTGGCGGCGGCAGAGGCTCCTTCCTTCCCATCAACTCTTTTTTCTTTGCTGGAGGAGGCGGTGGCTTCTTCTTGCCTACAGAGCCCCCCTCCAGCGCACTAGGAGGACCAGTGTTATCCCTCATATCGATCTGGGAGCTTGGAGGTTGGGATACCTGCGAGCTAGATGCTCCGAATGCCGCGGCCTTATCAGAAATTCCGTATTTCGCGTTTAACTTGTTTGCAGACTGCCAGCCTGACTTGACCTGCTCTCCATGACGCTCCCGAAAGTTGTTCGCTGTGCTTGCTGCCATCCTGGCATCGCTTAAGGATACCGACGAAGGATCATTCCGGAAAGAGGATGCAGTCTTTAGCGCAGCTTGCTTCTGAGCAAAAGTTGTCCCTTCGCTTGGAACTTCTGCTTTAGGAGATGAGGAGGATGACATGCGGGAGAAACGAGATTGGAGCTCGTTGAGCTGTGAGTTGCTGGCAGGAGCAGGACTTGGTGCTGGACTTCTGCTGAGGTTTGGGGGAGGCAGTGGCGTCTTTGCCTTTCCTCCTCCAATGCCAAATCCAGGTATGGAGACACCAGCAGACCCTAGCCTATCCAAAGCGCCTTGATTTAGGATGCCCCGGTGGGCATCTGGCTCCGGGATGGCGTCTTTAGAAGTATACGAGGGTGGAGGAGAAGGACTTGGAAGTGTATTCGAGTTCTGTCTTGGTGGAAGTCGCGGCGGAAGTCCCGGAGGTCTGCCATCTGCTCCATCCTTGCGCCCCGGCGGCGGAGGAAGATGCGAAGTAGACAAGCCGGTAGTATTTGATCGATAAGGCAGTGGAGGTCCTTTGCGTGTCTCTGCCTCCTCTGCCTCTCGCGCAGCCTCCTCCTCCTCCGCCTCTTTTGCTGCTATAGACTCCTTTGACAATGGAGCACCCCATCCGCCGGTATGCGGAGTTATCTGGTTCGGTAGAGCCGCGCCACCGTGATAGTTGACATTCTTGGGTGGAGGTCCAAATGCGGAGGGGTCCTTCAGCTGGTGCAATGGTCGTGAGGTATGTTCGTCGTCCGCTCCGCCATTCTTCTTCTCCCTTCCCAACAGCTTCCCGATCTGATCGATGCCCTTGAAATCTCCTCGCCATGATTCTTTAGATTTCCCATCCTTCCCTTTGGGATGCCACCCGCTCTTTGAGATCGCCTTGAAATCCGGCATAGTTGGAAGCTGGGAGATGTGGATCGTCGCATGCCGACCACACTGATGAGAGGTTGTAGTGGGGCAACTGATCAGGTGGTTATTAGTAAAACTGGGGGTCGATTTAGAATCCTTTCAACAATGTCTCTTCCCATAATTCGCCAAGAAATCAGCACCTTTCAATCAACAAATTTTCCTTCTCCCAGCTTTGAGCTGTCTCAATCACTAATTTTTCAAGCCAGCTAAGCCCATAGAGAACACAATATGGAGTCATCATTTCCAGTTAGAGGATTTGTAATGATGTTTCTGAATCTCGAACGAGTCTCGAACATCAGCATGGAGTGTTCTAGATGTCAACTCCATTTACTACGTAGTTTCAGGTTGGAAAAACTTTGCTTGAGCTTGCAGGGAAGCCCTCTTCAGCTCCTTTCACAATGTACATGAAATACATGAAATACCTTCCGTTTGTGAAATTAGACCGTCTGTATCTCGTTTTCTTGAATTTGGTCTGTTAAGAAGCAAATCTACAAGTTGATATTGCCTCACTCAATTAGTCTTGACTTGGTCTAAATGCTGGCCGACTCAAGTATGTTCTGTAATTGCGATTAGTACTGATGTTGAAAATATGGAGAGCCCTTCTCATCTTGCCGGAGGAGCCTTCGCCACGGTCTTGCGATCATTTTGTTCGTAACCAAGATAGCTAGCTAGCCAATAGGCGATGCCAGCTCTCGAGCACTACTTGTGGATTCGATATTATGTATGAGATTGGTATGAAGAAGGGCTTTCTTTACACCATCATCAGTCGAGACTTATTCTCCATGATAGAACGAAGGCTATGATAGAACGAAGGCTATGATAGAACGAAGGCTATGAGATTTCGATCAGCTAGCTGGATTCCGATTTCGGGATTCGCCGTATTATCAGTCGCCATATTGATGACAGTCATGCAATTTCTTGCAATGCAAAGTCAACAATGTTCTTCCTCTAATATCACGAACAACCAAGCCGAATTTTCACCACAGACCTCTTCATCTGCAAAATGTATGTCGTCTGTGGTGCTAGCTTAGCTCCAGACACGTCGACAAACGTCTCGCTTCCAAAATCATGTCTACAGGTTCTCTCTGCGATTCTCGGTCTCTTCTACCCCAATCGGCTACCTCGAGATAATAAGAGCAATATCCCATGTCTTTCAGATCGCATCGGGGATTTCTTGTACTTACTACACTGCCTCCTATCCGGGCTGACGTCTGCATGCTATATGAGACGGGAAATAATGGACTCTCAATTCCACCGTAGAAGAAGCTTCGATGCCTCAAAGCAACCCTTTCCCCCTTCCCCTTCTCTTCTCCACACCCACGAAAACTGATCAGCGGACATGTTTCGAGATCTACCTCCCAGCCTCCACCTACCCAACGCCATCCCGGAGGCCAGTATTTCTGTCTCCATGCTTTGTCGAAGCAAGAGACATGCTCGATTGCGAATACGTTGATGTCCCAACAGACAAATTGCGAAAAGGTCCACCCATGTAAGAAGAGGGGTGGTTCCGCACTCAAAGGTCGTTGGAGAGGGATACTCTGGTCTAATACAGCTGAATGTGTATCCAGCTCAAGACCAGCCGGTGGATGAGGACTGGCCGAGCGAGGCAGAAGACTGGGATCTGGGTTGGTATGGTGATGAGAAGGAGAGGAGAATAGGCTAGAGATAGGGGAAGGGAACATTGACGTGGGAATGAAGTATGGAAGGGGGAGGAGGGAGAAGGAGATTGGCTGGCTGGCTGGCTGGGAAGAGCGCAGCTCGGGCTCAGGATGTCGAACCACTCACTCATTCACATGAGTTTGAGGAGACTCTCAGCTATCCTAGACGGATATCGGCGTGGAAGCCAATATTCATAACGAGGTGAGTCTTCAGCTTCGTGTATTAAAGAGTGCTTGGATCAGCTGCTACTAGCACTGTGGCGGGGGGAAATCTTTTGCACTCAGCCCTTATACTTTTTATTTTATTTTCGTCCTTCGTTGAGCTGGTAGCAAGATATAAGAGTAAGAGCATGAAGATACGAAGAGGATGCATGATTGGCAGAGACACCAAAAACAGTTGGTGCTGCTGCTGCTGAGGTGGGATGAAGTATTTCGTGAGGATGAGGTTTAGAGTAACAGTCGACGTCCAATTAATATTTTCTCGGTTATTCTAGGCCCGGAGCTTGTGGACGCCGATGCGCACTAGTCTATATTAGTTGCAGCGGGGCTGGGCTGGGCTGGCTGTCTGTCTACCGCTACCTCTACCACATGTGACTGATCAGGCTGTGCACGTGCCATCGTGGCACATCTGACGTACCGGTACTACATCTAACGTGGGATGTTTACTACGCTATAACGGACGAGTCCCGCAGGAATAGGTACACGGATCAAACAGGATCTTAAAACCAAAACAATCGGAGAGAATGGATTCCATCCGTCTGATGGATCCTGTTAAACACGACGGGATCGCCTTTTCATTAATTCAGTGGCTGAACTGTCCTATTCTTCTTTCTACATGTTGATATCAGTAGCAGAGAAAAGAAGTGGAGGTCAGATAGACACATACCACGCACGTACGAAGTAGTAGGTAGGTCCTTTGCGGCACGGCATGGCACGACAAGGGGACTACCGTATGCAAGAGGTGCAAGTTCAAGTTCAAGTGCAAGTGCAAGTGCAACCGACAGGCCAAGCTGAGCCTTCCTCATGCTTATGCTGCCAAGATGTACTGGGCAGGAGCAAACAAGAAATCAGGAGAAGATAAAGCTGGAGCTGGGGATGTCCGCATCAGTATCCTCCGTTTCTCTACCTGCTCCCAGATCTCCTTCGCTTCCTAAGGTATTTCTCATCCTCTTCCTTTACCTCTTCTTCTGCTCTCCCATCTCCTTTCAATTCCACATCCACCATCAACAACACCACGCGTTTGACCTGCATCACATCAAATGTGGAGAATCGCAGTCGACCTCAGTTGTATGAAGTGCAATGCCCCGATCTAAGTCCAAGTCTCTCTCGACCCACGATCAGGCTCTTGCTACACTTGAGCGGACTTTCCAAGTAGTCCTTGTCGTTATACTCGGCGCCGTCATATACAGATACTGCTGGGTTGGTACGCGCCCAAGGTCCTCACCATCCAAGCCCACAGCATCTGCTAACATCCAGCTTTGCAGACGTATCCGACCCCTTCAAATGTAGCGCCCTCCAGAATCAAGGAGGATGGCTCGACCCAGGCCCAGGATGGAATAGCAAAGACTTCTACAAACACTGGCAGCCGCCGGGCTGTATGATGCACGAATACACGAAGAATGACATACAAGAATGCTTCCACACCAAACGGCTGGTGTTCATTGGGGATTCCACGACGCGGCAGATTTTCTGGGCCGTTGCGAAGAAGATGGATAAGCAGAGGGCCGAGAACGAGATGCAAGATATGCTCGCTGTGAAGGAGAAACATACGGATATTGCATTCGTAACTGGTGGCCTCAAGATCCAGTTCTTCTGGGATCCATGGTTGAATTCGACCAGGTTAATGGACGAGCTGACGGCGTTCAGGGCATATTCGCCTGTGAAACCCCAAGAGCCTAGCCATATGGATAGTGCCGGGCTCCTTTTGCTTGGCACCCCGGGACTGTGGTATGCGAGACACGGCCAGGAGAACTATTTCAAGGAGTTCAAGGATTCTATTGATGTGATCATTCCACGCATGGACCATCTTTCGCAGAACGATAGCACTATGCCGGTCCCGATGACCCTGGCCTCTCGGCAACGGTCGCCCAACCTGCTTCTTTTGGCTCCTATTCAGGTACCCCAATATGAAGCTTTGTCCCCCTCGAGAGTGGAAACCATGACTCCAGAAAAGATCGATCTGATGAATGACTACATCCAGCAAGTCTCGGCTCATTCCACAGCGGACGTCATCTGGAGTTATTCGCTGATGACCTGGGATGGAAAGGTTCAGTATGAAGAGAGCGGGCTTCACGTTATTGAGAACGTAGCCCGTGCGAAGGCAGAAGTCCTTCTCAATTTACGTTGTAATGCAGATGCTGCTTCGAGAGGTTACCCCTTTGATCGGACATGCTGTAGTAATTATACTCAGCCTGGTAGGGTACAGTGGCTGTTGATACTCGCTGGAATGCTAGTATTTCCCACCATGTTGATCACACGCCGTCGACGTGTAACGCAGGTTGCACGCTTTCTGCCTCAACCTGGGGTCTTGGGTGCCCTCGCGGTGTTCGGTCTGGTTCTGTGCTATTGCTTTTACGCAGATCGTACGCAGATATTCGACAAGGGACACAAGCTGTTCCAGCACAGCCAATTTCTTATCGCTTGCTTGGTTGTGATAATTGCGGGCGTCTTGTCCATAAGAAAGAACAGAGAGCCTGCTGGTGGTACCAAAATTCAAGATCTCGATTTCCTTTCCCGCGACCAGACGGATGAATGGAAAGGCTGGATGCAATTCATCGTTCTGATCTACCATTACACCCACGCGTCACAACATCTTGGGATCTACCAATTTATACGACTGCTCATCGCAGCGTATCTCTTCATGACCGGTTTTGGTCATACCGTTTTCTTCTTAAAGCAGGTAGACTACTCTTTCCATCGTGTTGCGGCCGTTCTGGTCAGACTCAATCTTCTGAGTTGCGTTTTGCCCTACATGATGCGTACCGACTACCTATTCTACTATTTCGCCCCCCTTGTCAGCTTCTGGTTCCTCGTTGTTTACTTTACGCTCAAAATCGCATGCCACAAAAACTCAAACTTTAATTTTTTGCTCGGGAAGATACTCGTTTCAGCTACGCTTACGACTGCTTTGACAAAGATACCGGGGGTTCTGGAGTTTGTCGCTACCGTTCTAAATTACACCTGTGCTATTTCATGGAATGTGACGGAATGGCGATTCCGCACTTTTCTCGACATGTATATTGTATACGTCGGCATGCTCATCGCTGCCCTCTACCTCCGATACTCCCGCATCCAATCCGGTGCGGTCACCCCCAATTCCATCACCGACTACTTGATTCAGCTCACCATCACATACCGATTTTTCAAGGCTCTCCTAATTGCAGTTGCCCTTGGTATTCCACCAGGACTCTGGGTCCTCCTCCGAAAGTCACACACGAAAGAAGACTACAACTGGTGGCAGCCAGGGATATCCTTCATTCCCATCCTCTGCTTCATCGTACTCCGAAACTCAACCAGAATCTTCCGCAATTACCATTTTGTCCTCTTCGCATGGCTTGGCCGCTTCTCGCTTGAGACGTACATCCTGCAATACCATATCTGGCTCGCCGGCGACACTAAGGGTCTGCTCAGGCTGGGTATATGGGATTCACGCGTCGAGACTCTGCTGCTGACAGCGGTCTTTTTCTGGGTCAGCTGGCACACGGCTGAAGCTACGCAGACATTGACGAGATGGATTGTTGGGGCCAGTTCAGGGGCTCCAGGTTTGACGCGAGAGTCTAGCCATAATGACACGGAGAAGAACCCGTCACACCTTTTGCCCAAATTCAAGGGTGAGGATGAAGTGTCTTTATCTACGGCCTTGCCGCAGGCCGGAGATGGGGTACTTAGGAGAGTTATGGGCAAGCTGGGGGTGAGGTTGGAGCTGAGGCTGGGGCTCATTGTGTTTTTATTGTGGGTAGCGAATGTCACATATCGGTAGCCATAAAAATGGGCAAGCTGTTACGTACGAAAGGCGGAAGGGCATAGAATGGCAGCTGAAATCTCACCTGACCAAGTTTCGAGAATTGAGGTATGTGTTCAAACCTGCGCGCCAAGTCTCTAATGGTAAGATCTGCAGTTCGTATTTCATAACGTTTCTCGAGTAGTTGCATATCATTCAGGTCAGCATAAACACCGACGGGGCCCTCTGAGCTCCAATAGAGTCCATCCTCGGCAAACCAATCTGTCAGTGTTGAGGGGCCTACCTACGATGCCAAGTTCTGATGCCAACTAACATTTTTCCTCCACCGTCATACTCCGCTCCAATCCTACCTAGGCGTCCCTCAGCCCTTGTTTGATCCGGTTGCATACTCGTCGGTTTTCAGATTAGTCGTTTTTCTGGGTGCGGCTTAGAATGGATGGATGGGTTTATGAGTGAGTGAAGATAATTGGATTGGATTGGGTGGTTGATATCAGATGAAGCAAGCAGGCAGATAAATAGGTAGGTAGGTGGGTAGGTAGGTAGTAGTTGTTTTTTCTTGGGGTAGGGTGTACACATGGTTAGTTAAATAAATCTAGAAAGAGAAAAGTGGAGTCTGTGAGCTTTGTGAGTTTGGGGAGGGGTGGATAGGAGGCCTTGGAAGAGGACTTGACACCTTATCAACGAAAAAAGCTGTTTGCTTGCTTCAAATTTTTTTT